CTCTCATGCTCTCTGTCTCTCATTCTCTCTGTCTCAAATAAATAAATAAAATCTTAAAAAAAAAAAAAAAAAAAAAGAACTTGGTTCTGTTTTCTTCCTTGGCATGAGACCAAACTGCAGGACCTCTTTCAATATTTCTGAGCACCTACTCCCTGCAAGCACAGACTGTATTCATGAATGATTCTGAAAAATCTCCGAGTTGTCTTTGAAAATGGTAATTGGCAGATTTTTTTTTTTAATGTTTTCAAGAGTCCCCTCTCTTTTATTTATCAGAACCTTGGGCAGGGGGCCTCTTTACAAAAGAGGAAATGGAGGCTCAGAGAGGGAGAGCCCCCTTGACTCCACTGCCCCCCAGAGCCAGAACTATAAGCTTCTTTCTGGGTCTGTGGGGACAGGGACAGTTCATCTCATGTCACCAGTGAGCTAGCATGAGGACTCATCCTCGGCAGGTATGTGAGATACAAATGAATGTCGAATGAGTGGATGAATCAAACCGTTTTCCCCTCTTCGGGCAAAGAAGAAAGAAGAGGACTCCTCAGCTCCCGGGGGGAAAAGAAGGGTCTGACTCTTGGGCAACAGGACAGCATGTCCCTCATGACAAGAAGGGAGAACTGGTCTATTTCAGCCTACTCCTCTCCTGCCCGGTGACAGGGGTGATCTGCGACTGCTTCACGCATGGGCTGGAGTCAGGCCAAGTGGCTGGAGTGGGACACACCCCGGACGTGCCAGGAGATTGGCTCCTTGAGGCCTGAGGCCGAGCTAGCTGACAGTCCCAGTTGCACACCTCAATCAGATGCCAGGCCAAGCCAGGAATAGGGGAATGACCTTCGAAACAGCTGAGGTTTGGGGGTGTGCTGTCAGACAACTGGTGAGATCAGATATCACTAGGGGCTCCAGTGAGGGGAGGGGATCTGCTGGCTGCAGGGACAGGGGTCTGACCTGGGCTGGTGAGGCTGTCAGCAGGACTGTCTCTCCAGGAGGAGGCTACAGGCATCATGGCGGAAGGGGGAGTGAAGCGGTTTCCTTGTATCTGACGAAGGGGTGGTTTGGGGCGTCCCTGGAGAGTCCCAGTTTGGGATGAAGTGGGCTCTGTGAGGTTTTGGAGGACCACACTGTCATTCTGCGCGCAGCACTGGTGGCTGAGAGAGCCTCCGCCACCCTCACCTCGGAGGAGAGGGTATTAAAAGCATTTCTGGGCTCTGTCCACTGGAAGGGTTTAGAGCTAGTCATTAATAACTGTCTAATGGATTTCTCGACTCTCACAAGCAGCCATGTGGCTTCTGGAAGGAATCTGCTACTTCAGTACATAAACAAGAATGCCACAAGCCTGTTAACCCTTGTGTCTCTCTAGGCTCTGCAGCTTCGGCTTTGATTCCTTTCCCTGTGATTTTGTGACGGCCCGCCGTCTCTGGTGTCCAGAGCTCAGGCCCAGATTTGAATCAAATCCAGGCCCAGGTTTGGCTCACTCATGTTTTGAGCCTCAGTTCGGTCATCTCTGAAACCAACTGAATGCCTGCTTCAGAGGCTCACGGTGGGGCATCAGGGGAAGGAGCTGAGCCCGATGCCTAGTACCTAGGGAGCACTCCAGAAAAGGCAGCGATTCTTGCTACCGCTCTCCGCGGCCCCGGCCCTGGCTAGACCCACTGGGTGTGGGGCCCGGATGCCTGGCTTTGTGTCTGTCCCACCTGCGCTTCTGATCACACACAGGGCTGAGAACCAACTACCGCACTATGTATCACTTCATTTCTCATGCTCTAGCGTAACTGCCTACTTCCTCCTCTCTGCCCTTCGTTGCAGTGGAAGCCCCGTGTGGGTTGGGACCCTGTCCAGCTTCTTTCGCAGAGCCCCCAGGGCCTGGCACAGTGCCTCAACGATGACTGCATAGATCTTTAGTAGGTGAAAGACTGGGTGAACGAGTGAATGAGATCCTTGCCACATGCTTGGTGAAAGCCCAGAGCAGGCAGGTATCTCCCCAGAGAGGAAGAGAAATCTGGGTTTGCGTCTCGGCCTGGGCCTCAGGTAAGTCACTCCAGCCTCTGGAAGGCTGTTTCTAACAGCTGTAAAGTAGGCAAGAGCTTTGTCATATTTGTGGTTGTTACTGTTACTACAAGGAAACTGAAGAACAGGCACTTTACTGTACTTCGTGCAAAGACAGCTCAAGGACAGAACGATCCTGCCCTGCCCTGTGGCCATTCTAGAATCCTTCCTTCCTGGCTCTGGCAGAAGCTGGGTGGATCAGGCCCTGAGGTCTCCAGGTCTGGAATTCCCTGCACCTCACCCTGACCGAGGAGGAGAGGCCCAGACCGACAGAAGGGGCAAGGAGCAGCGTGCCCCCCGACAGGGGACCAGAAATCGCTTCGTAATTGAGCATTTCCTATAAAATAGGGAGTTTTTAAGACCCAGGGCCGTCTTCTTTTTCCCCTTTGCCCCCTTAGCCTCAGTCCTGGTCTCCCTTTCCCAGCTATCCCTAGGAAACCAGAAGCAGATTTTTTTGTAAGAGGAGAGCCCCTTGCCCCATAATTTCCTTCAAAACTCAAAACATCTCCTGGGAATTTGACCAACTATGGTCAGCCCAAGTTATGAATTTGCTTGTCTTTCATCCCCTGGCTTTCCTCCTGGGGAAGGTCACCACTTCAAGGGCAAGAGCTTCGCTGTCTTAAATCCGAGCCCCAAATAGGAAGGTGGTCAATTACATTTACCATCTTTCAACCCACAAAAGCGAAAATGGCCTGCCCTCCAGGAGCCAGGCTTCTCCCTGAGGATTCTATTTCGACACACAATGGAGCAATTTACTGTGCACCACTCTACTATGTAACATTGTAGAAGCGACTGAACCTCCCTCCGCCAACTCCTCCGCCTGCAAAAGGACAGAAATACTTCCCCCTCTGCATACACAGGCACGGAGAGGAGGTCAAGGTGTGATGTCAAGTCAAAAAGGGCAGGTAGCAGAAGTGATGAAAGAGTATTTGGGGCATGACTGCATCTTTGCCGAATACGGGTAGATAACAGAGCAGTGAGAGCAGTCTTTCAGTATATGAGGGCGCACACAAAACATAGTGACCCTGGTTACAGAGCCGGTTTATACGCTGACTGGTGCCTTCTATGTATTTCTACATGCACACTTTGTAATCAATGCTTTTCATACTCAGAACTATATGTATCTAGGTTTCTAAAAACACCCAGCTCTCGGGGTTGTTGAGTAAATGATAATGTCAATAAAGTGGCACAAAGTCTGGGGCGTCGGACTCACTCAGTGAACAGGAGCTCTGTGCCGGCTTGTTTTTTCTTTTAACCACCATTTTCAGAAGCCAGTGTGCCCTCCAGGTTACACACCTGTCCCCAGCTGCCACCCTGTTTTCTTTCCTCCAAGTAGCACCAGAAAGTATGCGATGTGCTGTTTACGGTGTCTTTGACTGTCGCCGACTGACCCGGTCCCCAGAGCCAGTGCTCAGCAATCCATGTTGTTGAACACCACCAACAAAAGAAATGCCCAGAGAGGGCCCGGGTCAGGGCTCAGGGCGCCAGGGCTGGGATGGGAACTCACCGCTTCCGTGGGCTGGGGGCAGCAGGCGTCCAGGCAGTGGGCTGGGCTAGGCAGAGGGAAGTCGCAGGCTTCTGCACAGGTCCAGCAACAGTCCTGGGGCCTGGAGGCACGTTGCTTCCTGCAGGGGGAGCTGCAGTCGGTGCAGCCACCGTGGGCCTAGGAGATGCAAAGGGGCAGGATGGTGGGGGGAGGGGGGGGGGACGCAGCACGGAGGGATGGACGCGGAGGCTAAATGGCAAAGGAGCCTCAGCGTAAGGGCCTGCCGATGAGGGCACTGACTGACCGCTTCCTCTTCCCCGGAGCCCCCCTTCGGCCTCCGCCAGGCCCCTCACCAGTACGCAGTGCCTAGCCAGCAGCACTACTCCGAGCAGCAACAAATAGATGCCCACAGCGATGAACACGATGGCAGGGATGGGGAGCAGCAGGGGAGGACTGCTGACGGGAGCCGGGGTGGGATTCCACGGGCTAGAGGAGGCCTGCACAAGCACAGGAGGAAGGGGTGACAAGGAGGTGGGAGGGGCTGCGGAGAGCACAAAAATACCAGGAGGGACACCTGGACGCGGCTGGGATGAGAGGAGGAACAGCCACCAGATGGCGGGGAGAGAGTCATTAGGACTACACTATCCTGTTCCCCAAACGTGACTTTTCCCAATCACCCCCTTTTCAGGACCATCAGTACCTGCTGGTCATTCGAGAATTTTCCAAGACTTGTTGATCTTCTTCTCAGAATGCCTCTCCACACAGACCTATTGTCTCTGATTCCTCGGCCCTACTTTACCATCCCTCAGGCCCTAAATGTCTTCCAACCTGCAGTTTTGCCCCTTTCCACACCAGCTGTGTTGTGTAACCCTCCCTTCCTTACAATCCATCAATGTCTCCCACGGACTCAGTCCAAACTTCTTATCTCAGTGACAAAGCCCCAGTCTAGCCCTGCCTACCTCTCCCTCCCTCCTCCTCTATACTCCAGCCAGACTGAAGCCTCCCTGCCCCGAGTCTCGCCCAAGCTGTTCCCTCAGCCTGGGATGCCTTTAAAGCCTCCTTGATTACTTGGCAAGCTTCTCATCTTGCCAGAAAGAGCGGGAATGTGCTCTCCGTGTGAAGTCTATTCCGGGCACTCTCTCACAGCTCTGGTCCTGAGCTCGAAGGGTCTCTGTTGGGTAAACAGCCCCCTCTCCAGTCTGCGCTCGGGCTCCAAGGCGAGTTTAAGGCCCTGAGGGGGCCGCTCCAGAAAAGGGTAAGGGGCCTAGGACTCACGTCCATGGGTCAGGACAGCGCCAGTCAGTCCAGGAGCTGCAGAGGAGAGAAAGTCCTGGGTCTCAGAGGCTGAGAGGGGCCGTTGGACTGGGATGCCCACTCCGCCCCCCCCCCCCAATTCCCGCTTGGAGAAACTGAGGCCGAACGATGGCTCCTGGTCCGGACAGTGGGGATCGGGGGTCCGGGGATTCGGGGCGGCGTCCCCCTCGCAGGTCCCAGCCTGACCCGGCCACACCCCTGGCTGTCCCCACCCCCCGGCTCCCTCCAGTGACCGGTCCCCGGCGCCTGCACCCTCGGGGCCGCGGGCAGTTCGCGGATTCCGCGCCGCGCTCGTCCAATCGGCCGCCGCCCAGAAGCTCCCGCTGCGTCTGGCCGTTGCCATGGGGATCCGCGCGCCGCTCCTACGGCGGCCGCCGAGACCCAAATTCCTTCTCCCCGCCGCTCGCCGCTCTTCCCTGGCCCGATCCTCTGCGGCCGCCAGCCCCTCTTAGTCGCGGTCCTCTGGGTTTTCCCGCCGTTACTGAACGGAAAAGGCGATTTCCCCGCTGCCACCTGCCCGGGTCGGGTCCTCATCCCGTGCTGGGTCCTGCGGCGCCGCAAAGGGAACAGCGACCCGCCGGCTGCACCACCAACGTGCTGGGTGACTTTGGCCAAGTCACTGAGCCGCGCGGAATCCATTTCTTCCTCTGTAGAACGGGGAAACTCCTGCCTTACGGGGATGCTGTAAAAATCAAAGCTAACTTGTCAATTGTATAGCGTTCTACTTTTTTTTTTTTTCTTCCAACTTTACCCCACTCATTTTTTACTGACTGTGCTCCAGTTTAAGACTTGGGCGGGTCTCCTCAACCTTCGGTCACTGTCAGTCATTTCCTGCCACCCACCTCAGATCTTGTCCCTTTTCTATTTTAACCTTCCGAAGGACAAAGTTCCTCCAAAGGACAAAGTTCAAATGCTTAGCAGACTGTCCACCTCATCCAGTCTGGGCCCCTCCTCTCTTCCCTTTGTTCATTTACATCATATCTCATCTAGGCTCGGCCTCCAGCAGGGAATAAAACAGATTTCCTGTCCTCATGGGGCACACATTCCACTGGGGGAGGAGGAGCAGATAATCTGTAAACAAATAAGTAAGACTGCTCCGTGTTCCATCATTCTTCCAGTCTTCCACCATAGGATCTATTCAAGGTTCCTGAGCAAAGGGTTCCACAGCTCCACACATTTGCAAATACTGTTCCCTCTGCCTAGAACACCCTTCCCCTATTTCCCCCTGAAGAACTCCCTCATTCTCCAAGCCTCTGCTCAATTTTGCCTCAGGGAGGTCTCCCTGCCAACCTCCGGGGGAGGTCGCTGCTTTGGGCACCTTATATGCATGCCCTATTCCAGCACTGAGGACTATGTATTTGACTTCTCCCCTTCGGTGCCTGGCTCCCTGGTTAGACAACAAGTGTCTGGGTCTGATTCATCCCCATATCGCAAGCCCTGGCAGTTGGTGTGGTCTTGGGGGCCTCCAGCGAGTACTCACTGATTTTAAGAACGAATCAAATCCAATGCCATCCACCAATGAAGGGTAGTTATCGAGATGCCCTGGTCCCATGGCTCACAAGCCACTCAGACCTCCCACTTGCATTCCTCCCGTTTGGGATCTACACAGACATGACTGCACTCTGTACACTCATGTAAGCACACCAAGGCCTCAGACTTCATCCAATAACTGCATCTGGCCCTGTTCCCCTGAAAGCAGTGATGTCGGAAAGAACATTAGGGTTTGAAGCTGACGGCCAAGAAAGAATTCTTGAGACATCTTTGGTGCAAAAATGTGGTTTTTATTGAAGCACGGGGGACAGGACCCTCCCGCAGAAAGAGTGGCAATGGGGTCATGAGGAGTGGCCCATTATATACTTTCAAGTTGGGAGAGGGTTAGGGAATAGCGTAAGTCTCTAAGGAATTTTGGAAGCAAGGTTACCAGGACGTTGAGGGGGCTCGCTATTGTTGGGGAAAGGTCATTTATTACCGTCTAATAAAACCTTACTCATGAGACCCTTCAGATGTGTATCAGTGGGCCATATGCTTGGGGGATGATTGCCAACATGTATCTTGGGGGGTTTAGAGATAAAGGAAGTTTCCAAAAGAATTTTTATATGTTAAAGTAGGCTTACAGGATCCTGGGAGGTGAGGGATGGGCTAGGATTGTCTTTTGCCCTTAGCAAAGTGTCAACATCGAGGTAGTTGAGTCCCTAGAGGAATGTCACTCTGCCTGTTTCAAGGACTTGTCGATGAGCTGTAGGAAATTTAATAGTTTGTTTCTGCCTTTGTTTCCCACATCAGCAGTACCACCATATACCTACTTCTGTCCATGTCCCCCCCCCCCATGTACCTCGTCCCTGCTGCTGCCCCTGGGGATTTCCAGCACCCCGAGGCAACCCCAGAAATCACCAGGGTTTGTGTCCCTGGTTGCCAAATCTCCCTTCTCACCTTCAACCACACTGACAGAGTCCCATCCCTCCTCTGCCACCCCCAGCGCTCTCAGAGGGAGCTTCAAACCCAGGAGACAGGAAGCTAGCTGTCCCCAATGTCACCATTGCTGACTCTAAGGTAGAGTCAGGTTGCCTTCTTGGGGCTGTTGTTTTGTCTGCCCCATCTTCTTTGCAGAATCCCGAAGCCCAAGATGAGGCCAGTTCCCACCCCAGCCCCAGGAAAGGCTTCAAGTGACACAGACTCCCTTCCTCTGTTCTGTTCCTGCCAACAGAGAGATGTCAGTCTTGGCAAGACCTCTGGACACATCCATGGCCTGCAGTGGTCAGACTCACTGCTGATGGTATTCTGTTCCTACCATGGGCTCATACGTTATGCAGGATGGTGGGCAGTGCACCGGGCCTGCTCTCTGCAAGACAAACCAATAGGACGGGTAATGTATGTACCCACTTTGCCAAGGCCACTTCTGCCCACATCACACCATTTGTTGGAGGCAGGAAGAAACTGACTTCATGATAGCCAAATAACCATAAGGTCTCCCTCTCCCTCAAGTTCAAAGCTGGAAATGTCAGATATGATCGTGTGGAGTTTTGCACTGACCCCAGGAAGGAAAGAAAAAGATGATGTACTCTCAGTCCTCGTGGGGTGGGTGGGAGATCTGAGACCCACCGAACACCCAGGAGATGAGAGAAACCCAGCCAGGCCTGCCCTCAGGCGAGGGAATGGAACCCGGCTGCTCCGATTTTGATCTTGGACTTTCGACCCCTCCTACGGACATCAGACGATATTGCCTCCCAGAGGTTATCAGCGTCCTTTTAGGAAAATGAAAGGCCTGTGCTCAGGTAGTCACGCCCAGGGAATAAGAAGTGGAGATGACCAGGGCGCCTGGGTGGCTCAGTTGGTTAAGCGACTGCCTTTGGCTCAGGTCATGATCCTGGAGTCCCTGGATCGAGTCCCGCATCGGGCTCCCTGCT